ACTACTTGACATAATTCTACTCTAAGTCTGAAGAAGTGTGAGTCACTACAGAACCATTCTGTCAACTCAGGACAAAAACTTCATGGAATTACTGGGTTTTTAGTCCAAAGTGTTGAGTATTTGGAATTCCACAATGCTTTGTGGTATCATGACAGCAAAGGGAGCTACTCATGAAAACAGTATATTGTTGAAATCTGGGTCTCAGCTCTATTGGGTTGATAAATGGCAGTTGATTTTTGGAAGATCTGTTTTGATGAAAGAAAGAATTAGTGGATTAAGGTGTAAGGGAATGTTTTAAATATTTAATGTGAATTATATTACATATTGGGGGTTAATTAGAAGCTGTGTATTTCAAAAGTTTTGCATTTGTTTTTGTTTTCCTTAATAAGATGAGATATAATGCTAAATTGTATATATATGAAAGTTAATTTTGTTTGGAAGACAGAATCTAAGAGTGTAGCAATTATTGGAAATAATGCTGAAGGAGAATTATGACCTAATGTCTTTAAGTATGCTTGTGTGAGAGTGTATGTGTGTCTATGTACATGTGAGATTCATTTGTTGTTGGAAGAGCAATAGTTGAGCAAGCAGAAACCAAACAATAGCTCTTTTTGTTAATAGGATTGAGTCACAGGTGAGAATAACAGGTCTATTAGAGTTGACTTGTTAGAGAGTCATGAATTTAATGCTAAATGTTGCTTTGTTTCCTACTTGAGTCTCTGTACTATATCTGCCCTCCTCCTTGCCTCCCTCTATGCTTTCTTCTCTTCTAAATTGTTTTGTTACATCTTCTATGTAACAATAAAAAGCTCAAAAGCAATGTTAAATCCAGATGTATAACTAGTTGCTTTAATTCTAATAGATACTGCATTTATTTCACTTTGTACATTGACTTGGCCTCCCAACTCTTCTCCATTCTACTTAGAAAAAAAAGAAAATTTTCATTATATAATCCTATGTTTTTTCATTTCTCCCTCAATAAAGAAAGATTTTGAATTGTATGAGCAAAAAAAGAGTAGCACTGTATGGGTTCATGAAGATTTGCTCCAAACACACATTCTCTCTTTTTCTCTGACAAGGAACTTGAACCTCAAAGCAAACAAAAATGTGATCCTCATTTTTAACACTCATTATGGGAAAAATATCCAAAAACTATTAGGAATTTTAAAATATCACCTTCCATTTCCTTTATGTTCAATAGAACACATTGTATTATTGTTGCTAATGTTTGCCACTGTAACAAACAAACTCAAAATTATGTAAGGCTCAAACATGGAAGAAGTTTACTTTTCTCTCAGGTAAACCAATCATTATGGATTCTGATAGAAGAAGCTAGGATAGTTCCCTGGTCATATTTGTCAAGCAAGAATATATGGATTTTTGATTGGGGAAGCTAGAGGCATATTCTTGGAAAGTCAAAAGTTCTTTATGAGAAGTTTTCAATGTTATATTTTCATTTTGATAATTAAAAGAAACACATATGAGCATACTCTGGAGCATCTATAAGACATTCTTATTACAGTACTTCCATGCGATTCCAGTGCTCCAGTTGCATTTGCTTTAGGGAGAGTAATATCATTTTAATTGTCTCATTTATGAGAAAAGGGCTCAGGTAGGACTCAATTGCACTCTAGTGAAGACCAAAGGATATAAGTGTGCTAAAAAATGGTGGTTTCTCAGAATTTTCACAGAAAGAAGTACTGAGAGGATGGATTCATTGCACAGCATGTAGCAGCAGAGGCAGACCAAGACCAAAACCAGGTAGACCACAGCACTTGGAACCAAACTCACATTGTGAGCAACGATTAATTTTTTATCAAGTTGTCATATGTCTTACTAAATTAATAGTAAAAATTTCAATATTATTTTTTGTTGTTTTGCATTTACTTGTAAATTAATTTTGACTATATGTACAAGGAGTTTATGCCTAGTTTTACGATTACACACACTTTAAAAACATTAAAATAAAAGAAATTCAATTCAACACAGGGATCCATGAGAGTTGTTTTTCTTTAAAATGACATCTATACATTATTCAAGTTGAGAAATACTGCTTTACAGGATTACCCAGGTCTTTCCAGAGGTGACTACACTCAATCTGTTTTTATCTCTAAGAGATGTCCACAGAATGCACCATTACTTAATTTCAGTGACTTGAGAGGCCAATGTATTGGACTAGACTGTATCATATTTAAGGAGAAGGAAACTTGATTTTCTTTTATTTGCACTTTTTCTGAAGGATGTTCTGGTTGCATTACTGGACCAACACATCCTATGGACCAATTTGAGCAATTTTTCACAAATATTGTGAACTAACAAAAATAGATCGGTTGCACATGCTATTCTTAGTTACTTCCTGCTGTCCTCTGATGAGTAGAAGGTGCACTGTAGCTGCTACAGAACTTTTGATAATGACCTGTCTCATAGACAGTGTTTAATAAACTGAATGAAAGAATAAACCTGGGTCAACAACAAGAAGCCATTAAGACATGAAATAGATATTAACAATTGAGTAATTGATTACAGAATAATCCAGGAGGATGGAACACAACCCCTAGAGCAGTCTTTGGAAAGTTCCCCAATACATAGTCTATTGAGTGTTTTTCTGGAGGCCTGGTGTATATTAAGCTCCTTCTTTCATGTTACAAAAGCAGAAAAATATCCAGTCTACTAGTCCTCTAGACAAATGCTTGATTATTATCTGATAGGAATCCCCTCACATGTCAGAGTAGGTGGGTTTGGAGGGAGTGAACCATTTGAAGATTTATCTAACCACGCAGAATAAAGTAATGAGCAGAAAGGTGCTCAGGGGAGTTATTGGGAAAGAATTATTGCTACAACACAGTGAGTGAAGAGGAAGGAGGAAGATGGGTAGGCAAAAGGCTATTAAAAGTTACATTAACTCATCCCTATTTTGTGCTCTCTTGCTTGGGTCTCAGCAATGATATAAAGAATTAATTGAGACTGGGGTGCCAGAAATAGGCATGCTCATCCTGGTTTCTCCTTGCTAACAAAGTGGCATGATGTGAAGGATGACTTCTTTGGAAGTAATTTCTTCTCTCCTACTGAATATTCAGCTCTGGGTGGGAGAGAACATCTACCCAGTGAGTATTAGCAGGTGAGTGGGTACTGGTGAGCCCTGAATGATGAGGCTGCATTTGAGTCGTATTCCTGTTGGATAGGGAGCAGATGGAGTTTTATCTCCAGCCTAGAAAATACCTTTGGACAATTCACTTTTTCTTTTCGTGAATCAATTTTCTCACCTATAAAATAAAAGCAGTGATACTCCTTACTCTTGGAACTATTATTGGGATATGTCTGTACTTAAATTATTTTGATACTTATGGAAGAAAAGAGTTCATGCAGTTCTTTGCTATCCAGTTTATGGACTATATAAATTCCGCCTTCTTTGGCTATACCTTGAATGCTCTCTGAATCTCCCTTGACTCAGTCAAGGAGTTTTCAGAGATACAGCTTTAATGCACTGGAGATGCCCAATAATGTCAGTCTCTCACCCTTTCCAGTGTAGTCTTTAACAGTTATGCAGTGTCGACTTTAGTGTACATTTAGCAGTAATGCTTCAAATGGAGGCAAAAATGAGACTCTATGGGCATATTTAATAGTTTTTTCTCCTTTGCTTAAATAACATCTTGAACTTTCCCTAATTATAACATTTATGACCCTGACTCATAATTATTTACCTGTGTCTCTCCCATTGGACCATGAACTCTTCTAGGGATATAGAGATTATTCACTTGTAATACCCAGAACTTAGCATAGTGTCTGTTGCAGGGTAAATGTACAATATTAACTGGAATATTTCTACTAGAATTTTCTCTCTTTCTTTTCTACTCATCACCTATTCCTCACCCACAAGAGTTCTTCCTGCACTGGCAGTTTGATCATGCCTTCTATTCTGACTAATCAAACCTCATCTGCTCCCACAAATTTAATCATTCTCCAAACATTAATTATGACCTTTTACCTGGCACTGTTCAAGACCTCACATAGAGTACACATTCCTGATGGTGAGTGTCATTAGTCTGTATGATCTGCTATTTCTGAGAAAACTAGTGAAAATGTTACATGAGTGAAAAAAGGAGGGAAGGGGATAAAAGGAGGGATAGGAATACACATAGGAAAAGAAAAAAGATAAGTCCAGAGGATAGTGGGAGAGTTGTAGAGGGAATGCCCAAGATGTTAGTTGTCTTCAAAGTCATTATGAGTTAATAATTCAAGATGGTTACCAAAACATATGCCTAACTAAAAACTACATTGATAATTATTTAATGTTATCAGATCAAGGAAGAAAACAATTCAATTGCCTTTTGCTCTATTAGACCCTACATTTTAGTGGATGGATTAATAAACTAAAATATTTCTATGAGAGAATAACCAAGATAGTGATGTGTCTGGAAGCCATATAATAGAATAAAAAGTCAAAGAAACTGAGAATGTTTATCCTCAAAAAGAAAAAGTTTACTAGGAGAATGTAATGTATATACATATTTTTTATTTTTTAAAATTTATTTATTTAAATTACTTTCAAGTATATAGTACATCAGTTAGACACCTATATAGTTCATAAAACGATCCCCCCACTTGCTCCCTCCCTCCCCTGGCCCTCCGCCTAACCATCATATTAATGCAAACTGCATTCCCTCTGCCTTGCTCCCCATTCCCATGACCAACTATCAACTATTAATTTGTACTTCTTTAACCCTTCACCCCATTCTCCCAGCCCCCCAAACCCCTCCCCTCTGTCCATCACCAGATTGTCCACTGAAATTGTGAGTCTGTTTTTGATTAGTTTAAATATTTAAAGAGTTGCATAAATATTATGGGCTAAATTGTACCCCTCCTGCCAAATTTCTATGTTGAAGTCTTAACTCCCAGTTATTTTGGAATGTGACTATATTTGAAGATAAGGTCTTTAAATAAATAATTAAGTTAAAATGAGGTCATTAGGGTGGGTCCTAATTCAAAATGACTACCGTCCTTATAAGAAGAGGAGATTGGGACACATACACACAAAGAAGAAAAAAAGACCACATGGAGACACAGAGAGAAGGTGCCATTGATAAGCCAAGGTAAGAGTCCTCAGAAGAAACAACCCTGCTGACATCTTGATTTCAGACTTGTGGCTTCCAGAACTATGAGAAATTAAATTTCTGTTGTTTAAGCCTCCCAATTTGTGGTGCTTTGTAATGGTAGCCCTGACAAACTGATACAGGGAATTTACCAAATCCACTAGATGGTAGACTTTCTGAGGAAGAATTCTTGTCCTACATATCTTTGTATGCCATCTTGTCATCTAATATGGAGGCAGGAACATGCTGAACAAAAGAACAGGGTTATTCTCTGGGTTAGTATAAGAAAGAACTAAGGCCAACATGTGGAGTGGCTACAGTGAATTGTGGCTCAACTATGGAGTGGGTGGTTTGATGAGGTAGTAAGTTCCCCAGTCATTGGAAGTGTTCACACAGAGGTTGACTGACCACCTGTTAGAACTGTTGCAGAAAAAATAACTGAGTAGGAGGGATCCTAGAAGACCCTAGTAGTCTTTCCCATGGATCTCTGATTCTCTGAAAGAAAGGAGCTTACTAAACACCCAGATGATTAACTAGGAATGATTCCTTTCCAATACCATGCAAAGATGGCCAAAGCCTAAGATGCCTGTCTTTCATAGGCTGTGAAAGTCACAGGGCTAGTGGGACTTCTGAAACATTTATTCATGTGTGACTTTTGATGTATCCTTGTATGTAGTGTGTGAACAAATCTATTCTCATTAGGTTCAGTGTTTCAGAACAAAGGCAAAATGAATGGACAAGTATGAGTGCAGGATGGCATGACCTTGATGTGGCAGCAGTAAAATTTATGTGAAATGAAATCTTCCAACCTGTTAACTTAGGTGTGGCTGGCTTGAAAAATCTGAATGTCACCTTATTTCTCACAGAGGGTATGCAGAGGGCTCTGAGCTAATTAGAAATTAGACACTTGAAACTTAAGGAAGTAGATTTAGGTGTGGGGATTCAGGAACAAGGAAGAGAGCAGGGGAAGAGGAGAAAGAAGGTGGCACAGGTCAGGGGCAAAGTAGTATGACAATCTGCCTAGGCCATGTGGCTGACAACTTGCCTGACGCTTGTTTTGACTTCTCTAACTGCACAAGTGGTGCATGCAGATGACTTTACATCTCATAGCAAAATGTGCTACAGCAACGTGCTAAGCAAATGCAAACAAAAATATGCTTTTCCCACTCCAAACAAATCTCTCACACATCACGATGATCCATGGCATGGCGAGAGACAGGAGACAGAGACCACCAGGAACTAGATTTGTTCATTGTTTAACTTAGTCTCTGGGATCAATATATATGTTCTGGGAGATCAACTTCAGCTGCAATGGATTACTTGCTATTATTTGGACGTAGAATGCACTTTGATTTCACTCATTTATGTATGCATGAAAGTATTATTCATCCAATTCACTCGACATTTATTGTGAATCTACTGTGAACCTGGGCATAGCCAGGCACTAAAGAAGGCACTGTGAAGGATATGGAGATAAGCCATATGCATATCTTATCTTTGAGAGTTCATAATTTCTCTGCTTTCTCTCATGTGTGTCCCTCAGCCCATAATGTACTTCACTGTACTTTCTTTCTACAGAAATGCTTCCCATTCCTTAAGGGCCAACTTAGAGCTTTTTTTTTTTTTTTTCTTGTCTTTATCATTCCTCCCCACAGTGAGAATTAATCACCCTTTTTTTTCCCAATGCTCCAAGAGGACAGTGATTCTACTCTGAATTTGCACAGTAGGTATTGGACAAAAGTGCCTGCTGTCCCATTATTTTTCTTGCCTTTATTTTCCCCACTTCCCAAAACTTGTAAGACCAGATCTTTCCTAGTTCTGGGAAAATTCTAACAGGAGGAAGAAGTGTATTAGTGACCTAAACCTCATAAAATGGAGCATTATAATTAAGTTTACAATTTTTGCATTGAAAATATATTTTGAGTCAAACATAGCTGTAGGGCTACAGTGTGCCTTTCTCAAAACTTCTTATCAAACTAGAATAATAACAAGGAATCATTCTACTTTTTCCTCCAGGATAGTATAGTATGGTAGCTAAGAGTGTGAAATTTGAGTCCAGATTTGGCTGGCTTCAAGTACTGGATTTATCATTTATTAAATGTGTTACTTATGTGAAGTTATTTAATATTTGTGCCTACATTTCTCCATTTTTATAATGGGGATAATAATGGGACATGTTTTATTGGATTGGCATGAGGATTAAATATGTTAATATATGCAATTACTTGGAACACTGTATGGTACTTAACACATGTTCAAAAGATGCTATTTATTTGCTATTCTCCAAATGAAATATTTTCTACCTGGAGTTTACTGTGGTACTGTTTTGTACTGTTGATGGTTCTTTCTAATCAGATTTATGTTCTAAATGTTCTAAGGTTCAATTTTACATAAAGTCACTGCTGAGAATAGATACTTCAAATTTTTGTAGTTTTTGAAGAGTGAGTCATTTGGAGTTAGATTTTAGAACTTGAGTTTTAATATTTTTACTTCTATTGAATGTCTTACATGGAAGAAATTACTCAAACTTTCTAATCTTCTATTTCATTAACTTAAAAAGGAGAGATAATCATACATCCCTCACAAGGTTGCTGTGATAATAAAATGAGTGTTGTGAGATTGAGTTAAGTAAATAACATATGGAAGTGTCTAGCATCCTATGTGACAGTCTTAATAAATGTTCATTTCATTCTTATAATTAAACAAAAAAAGGCCTTCATGGCCACTGAATCTGTTATACCTGAGATGAGCCCTGAATATTTTGATAGTGTCGAAAGACAATAACTTACATAGTGGCTTTTAATGACTTTGTGATCACTCTACTACACGCGCGCGCACACACACACAGATCTAGATCTAAATATCAAATCATTTAATCTCCACAATAGCCCTACGCTGTAGTATTATTATACTCTCTTTCCGTAGATAAGGAAGCAGATGATGGCTGCTTCTCAGGCTGGGCTGCTGTTTTGGGTCTGCTCCTCTGTCTTTTCACACACCTATTCTGTTAGCTTTTCTGTGTTCCTTGAGGACTGAGTCTTGTCCCCAAAGCCCAGTTGGTGGCAGGCCTCTGCTGTTGCATCACTCACCTCGTAATTATTTATCTGGGGTACACACTGTGTGTTGGGCTTTTGCGTTGAATGGGCTCATCTCATGATCTCATCCTTTGCCCTGCTCTCCTTCCAAATGACAATTGGGCTGCAGCTTTGGTGCTAAGAATTGTTTGAACCATGCTCTGTGATCACATTATCTTGGCCAGTCTGGTTATCTTCTTCTGAGCCTACCTCTACCACCAAATTTGTCCCCCTCCTGTGTTTTCTACCTTAAAGAACATGCCTTTTTCCAGACCTGGTCCCTCTTGGCCTTTGAGAATCATGTTGCTTGCTGAGTTCACAGAAAATTTCAGTTCCTATGGGTCAACTGCCTAAATGTCAGCATTGTCTCTTCCAGGTGCTGAGGTTCTATTTTGTGAGGTTCTATTTTGTTCTATTTTGTCTCTTCCAGGTGCTGAGGTTCTATTTTGTGAATTAGAAGTGACCAAAGTCATTGCAAGGTCCTTAATTCCAGGAATAAAACTATATTCAAAAGATATTCACGTAAAGAAGATGTGCATTATGTTTGGGAAACAAATGATGCTGGAAATAGTGCAGGAAATAAGAGAGCTTTGCATCTGGGTTCCTCAGGAGACTCTGCAATTGCCCTGGAACTGGAAAATATGGCAGTAACATGCTGGGATGCCACCTTTTGGCTAACGAACGCAATTGTCAGGTGACAGAGGAACCCTGACCAACTGACATTGATTCTTGGTACAGAAGCAAGCACTGCAGAAGTCATCCAGGAGAGAGACAAATGACCGATGTGCTGTATGGTGAAGATTTTATGTATTTAGTGACCAAAATCTTGTTGCTTTTGAAAAAAGAAATTCACAGTTCTTTTTTAGAGTTGCCAGTTTAAGTAATAATCAATATAGGGAGAGATGGGGTTATTTTCTAAATGAAATAAGAGGTGAGCAAGGGTTAGCAACTTGGACAAAATGGTGGCAGGTGTGAAGTGACAAGTGGTGTTTGTCTTCGGCATCCAGCTAAGCAGACTTTTGCCAAGGCCCTCACCTTTGGCCTCTATAGAAGCATTCTTACTGGGTCAGAGCAAAGAGCAACTTCCTGACCATTTATTCCATGGTCTCTTGGCTCATGAAGAAAGGCCAATTAGATCTAATTGTGTTGGAAGTGGGAGAGTAAATTTCCTCTATTCTACTGACCCTTGGAGTGACTCTATCTGTCCTGAAGGCCACAGGAGTAAAGGCGGGGGACGCTATTCTCCACCTTATTTGTCCAAACTTCTCCCTGAATGCAGTGATTGGTTCTGGTCCTTAGCCTTGTAACCTCAGGTTTCTCTGATCTAAGGGTTTGACAATGCCCTTATGTCTCCCTCAAATATAGAAAATTACTCAATTTTTATTTCAGAAGGTGGATGTTTGGAGGGGGGAGATAAAATATAAATACTAGTTACTGGTCCACTGTCTGTTTTGTTTTAGAAATAGCTTTTATATTGGTAAAGGATGTCAAATCATTCCCACCTGTCATCATCCATTTCCCAGAGCCTTCCTTTTGCTTACCACGTGATACAGTGAATTAATTTATAAGTGGTATTTCAGGTAAATGCTGAAATCTAACTGATAGGATTCTTCCAGAAAGTTCCAACTAGTTTAAAATCTAACAAGGTTGCTAAATGTTAAGGATCCAAAAGTACCCAAAAGATTATTCATCATTCCAGAGATTAAAATCAATGTGCTTAAAACACACACACACACACACACACACACACACACACACAGAGAGAGAGAGAGAAAGAGAGAGAGAGAGAGAGAGAGAGAGAGAGAGAGAGAGAGAGAGAGAAAGAAAGAGAGAGAGAGAGAGAAAGCCAGCTCTCTTTGCAAACAGGGCATTGGGAAACAAATATAATTGTGTTCTTTCTCTCTATATCCAGGAACTTTGGCTGCTACTGTGCTACATCAGGTATGTAATAAAAGACAAAAGACAAGGAATCGAAACAGAAGAGAGGACCTTGAGTAACTGTAGTTTTTATGTTAGGGAGAATGTGAGAGAGAAAAGAAGCATTGTATCTTGGATTAACAGGACTGCAGGATTTCATTAATGACAGCCCAGCTTTTTAGCAAAGGAAGACAGTTAGAGCAGTAAAAGAGAACATGACCAGAATGTGCTCTGCTAATTGGAAATGTATATTATCTTCAGGCGATGTGTGTAGGGCAGGGAGGGGGACTAGGGAGGATGGGAAGAAACACATATTGAGAGCTGGCAGGGGGAACTAGACCTAGGGTGCCCCAGGTTTGGCTGTACCAATGGGATAGTTAAAGGGTCTTTTCTTGTAGATAGGAATGCTATTGCCCAGAGCCCTCCCACCCCCACTCCCTTTTAATTCAGTGGCTATGTAGGGGCTTCTTTGATGGTGGCTTTGAAGTTGGTGGCTTTGAGATTACTCTTCCTCTGTGACCTTGACCACCAGCCATGAGGTTAGTGGGGAAGGGGAGGGGTGGAGGAAGGAGCTAGAGTTGGAAAAAGAAAAGGAAGGAGAGAGGAGGGGAAGGAAAGGCTGCCCTAAGACATTTTTGCAGCATTCCACGACTTTTCTGATCACTGTGCAAAGTTGAAATATGATTGCAGCCTTTGCACCAGGAAGGAAAGAAACCATTTAAATGAAAAATTAGCTGCCTTAGCAGGTCAAGCACATAGTTACATTAATGTCGTGTAGAACAATAAATCAACTTCGATCTCCAATTGAAGAAATGCTAATTTAGCTCAACGATTCACTGATTGTACTTTCCTCTGATAGAAATCTTTTCTTTTATTTAATGCGAAGCCGTGATTTGACAGCCTCCTCTAATGGTGCTTGCAGACTCTCAGCATTTCAGTGGAATTCTGATCATGGTTTTAATATTCCGTGCAGCTCTGCCCCCTCTGATTTCACGCTCACACATTAACGAGAGCTGACACTGGAGATTAGACGCAGACAGCTGGAATGCCAGGTCTTTGTTGCAGTATGGACAGGAGCCAACGTCGTTCAACCACAGCCAAGAGGGACCTGGGAAAGTCTTCTTAAGAAGGAGGGGAAGGCAGGGTGGGGGCTTGAGTTCTGGTGGGAGCGGGGGATGGGGACAGAAAGAAAGGCAAGGTAGTTTCTGAAGGGCATAGGAAAGGAGTTATTTGCAAAAAGCCCTTTTGTCTCTGAAATTCACATTTGAATCAATTCTGATTTATTCAGAGGAAATGGATCATTCCAGGGAAATCCCAAATTGGTTGCAGTGTTTTTTCTGTAAACTCCGAAAACCCAAGTGTGATGCTGAAAATGGAAATGTCTCCCAGCTTCAGCTGCTCACTGGCTTGTCTAAGAAACAATGGTGATTACAAGCTGGAGGAAGAATGCATGCCCAAGGAAATGTGTTCTCCTCTTTGCCTTTAAAACATCATTTAGTTCCAGGTGAATAGATGGGGAAATAAAACCAGATTTATGAGCCAGGGCTGCCTGCTCGACTAGTGACTACCCAGGCAAGAAAGGAAGTCTCATAGTCTAACTGCCTTGATCCTAATAAATTGTTTCCTGATACCAGAAATAAAGTAAAGATCTACAGTTTCATCTAAACCATGAAGCAACTCGTGTTCAGATGGTGACCATAGTGCAAAAGAAAAGGCAGGGTGTTGCCTGAAACAGTGGCGCAACTTTCTCAAAAAGAAAATGACAGATGATTGGAGTTGCAAAGATGGCACATTATACTATGTCAAAAAAAAATTGTTTCTGCTCCTGGGGGAAACAAATTGAGTAGAAATAACAAATGTACTTCTTGCTAACTGTATCATTAACAATAATTATACTTTGCATTTTTAGGGGATATCAAGATACTAGAACCCTTCATAAATATTCATAGAGAAAAGTTGAAGAAGAGAGGCAAATATACCCATTCTCAATGAAGGATGGGTGGATGGAGAAACTGATGCCCAGGGCCTAGCAGGGGCTACTTGAAATTAAATAGAAAACAAATTACAAGGTTGCATGCTGCAGCTGGCATAAAGCTATCCAGGCTTTAATTTGAAGCTCAGATGAACTGAATTATCTTATATCACTTTGGCCTATGCTTACTTGCCCTTTTTCCTGGGCTTGGTTGGACCACTTCACTGACATAGGTTTAGTTATTCAACTAGTATTTCTTGAGCACTGAACTAAGCGACATTTTGATTTAAAAGGAAGTATGAGTTTGGACCCTTATATTATAATATATATATAATGTAATATGTATATAATGTAATATGTATATAATGTAATATGTATATAATGTAATATGTATATTATGTAATATGTATATCATTAATATTTTTATAAGAACGTGGAGGTCATATCACAGTAGTTAAAAGTATACCTTATAACATTGCATGTATCAGAGTAATTAAGAATATGTCAGAGAAATTCGCACATGAATCTCAGTTCTATTACTGGCTTTGTGACCTTTAGCAAGTTACTAAACTTCTCTCTAAACCTCAATTTTCTTGTCTGTAAAATGGGGAATATAATAAAACAATCTATAGCTCAGTGCCTGACTCACATGAGCACTCAATAAGTGCTAACTATTATTGTTGTTGTTATTTTCATGTAGTTATTGGGAGGGTTCGATGAGAATACATATATACACTCACGGGCCTTTACTGAGTTAGCTTAAAGAGTTGTGTGGGTTTTTTCGGTTGTTTGTTTTTTAAGTCTGTTCCAAGGGCTTATAACCCATGGCAGGTTTTCAGTGGTCACAGGTTAGCATCCTCCATAGTTACTTTACTTGCAATTGGTAATAAATGGCTTTGACCAAAGAGGAGAGCAAATTAACTGAATAGAATGCTTAAATGCCTAAAGATGTGGGAGAATACTTCTGGGAGTTAGATAGCATTCATCATATCAGTAAGAATATTGCACATATAGTATATACTGGAAGGCAAAAATGCCTGGGGTGGTTTTGTTTATAACTCATTGCTTTGCCTCTGTGACATGTAGCCAAGAGAATCATTTATGCCAACGCACTGTCATTGAAATAGTATATCTATTTGTTCAGTGTGCAGAGAAAATTTTCCTGACCTTGTGTATCTACTCGGAGTAGGAGCACCTAGTAACATCTAAATAAAATGTAGAAGACTGCAATTGTCTACTTGGATCTGAATTATCTAGTGGCTTCGGAATGTTTTAACCATTCTGAATAGTCATAATAATAACATTTCTCAGACTGACTCTCAATCTTAGTATTGTACTGCATAGCAATTTCAGGTATGTTACAAGTATAGCATTTGTGACAAATTTGCTCAAGTTTGAAGAAAATAATTGGAAAAATATTAAGGAGGTTATCCCTATAATGTTACCCTCATCGTCTCCTTTCCAATATGCTTTATAGAGTGAGCAAGAAAGAAGTGGCTACAGAGAATTAGAAAATCTCTGAAAAACTCCTGTAGAATGTGCCATATATGCTAAGTTATGTTAATGTCCTGTGTGTCCCAACAGAAAAAAAGTTGAGAACTACTATACTGGAAAATGACATTTTATGTAAACACTGGCATGTCACGTATGTAATTCCAGCAGAGTTTAGTTATTGTGAGATGAGAAAAGACTGAATAATAATGTAGCCTTTCTGTAACTGACTTTCAAGTTAAATTCCTTAAAACCGGTGTCTTCTGTAGGATCCAAAAGAATGGATACATCAAAGTAGTCTATTTATTTGTCTCATTATTGTTTAATTTTATTACCTCTATTAGGCGTGAATATTTTCCCACTGCTTCAGTTTGTCTCTGAGCAGTTCCTGGGATTATTGGGGACTATAGTAGAGGTCAGGGAGGCCATGAGTACAAGGAATCAAAATTCGTTGAACACCTATGATATATTGTGTGTGTGTGTGTGTGTGTGTGTGTGTGTGTGTGTGTGTGTATTAATCCTCAGGATAATCCTGCAAAGTTTTATCCCCTCTTCACAAATGAGGACTTTGATAAGCAAAGATAGCTAACTAATTAGCCCCCTAAAGTCAAACTCTACAAATAATAGGGAGTTAATTTGAATACAAATCTTTCTGAATCCCCAAATCCTTGCTTTTTTTCTGAGTGTCTACCTTTCACAGGATTACTAAGCATGGTAGGATGTATAAATTTTTAGTGGTGCCCCAGTAGGACATATGGGTAAGATTGGGCCCAGTCTAAAATTTGGAGTCTTGGGACCAATTTAAATAATCAGAGCAAAGTAGGGCTCATCCATGACAGCATTTATCCAAATTTAATAGTTGAACCATGTGAAATTACCAATGTTTGGCCATTTTTTATCAATAAAAATGGAAACTTCATATAATTCAAACTAATAAAAGTAGGACAATCAGTGCTAAGAATACTTAATATATTTTTCTCATTTTCTCTGGCTATTAAAATGGAAACAGAGAAAGGTCATTCACTTTGGCTCCTGAAGTTGAGCATTCTATGGCTCTAAGACATCTAAATGGGGCAGCTCATCTCGAGACTTGTGACACCTGCAGACACCAGCTTTCCACAATGAGAAAGAAGGGAAGAGGTGACCTGTAGCCTTCCAATGCCTCTACAGGCTCTGGTCTATGAGACAGTCTCTCTGCAATTGTCTGGTTCTCCAGACTTGTGCTCCCCAATGAAGACTGGTTACCATTGTTATAGATTGAATTGTGCACCCCCAAAAGATATGTTGAAATTCTATCCTCTAATACTTCAGAATGTGACCTTATTTGGAAATAGGGTTTTTACAGATGTAATTAGTTAAGATGAAGTCGTACTGGAATAGAGTGCACATAGAGAAAACATGGCCATGTGACAACAGAGGCAGAGATTAGAGTGAGGCATCTGCAAGCCAGAGAATGCCAAGGATGGCAGACAAGCACCAGGAACTAGGGGAAGCAAGGAAAGAGTTTCTCCTACAAGTTTCATAGGAAGTATAGTCCTGCTGACACCTTGATTTTAGACTTCCAGCCTCCAGAACCATAATACAATATATCTCTGTTCTTTAAAGCTCTCCAGTTTGTGTTACTTTGTATGGCAGCCCTAGAAAACTATTTCACTCACTTTTTAGGCTCTTCCCATTTTTCTATATACCCATCTGCTCTCAGTCAAAATGATTAAGAAAATAAAGTTGTTGCATAGAAAAGTAATTCTAACATAGCTCACTAGACTAGCTCATATTTGGAGTGTTCTGATGAGTTTCACTTTTTCCTGAACCTTAAGTTTAGGGGCCACGTATGCAGACTGGTCTCTTCTTAGCAGGAGAATTTATCCAATTTATGGCATTCAACGTACATGTTAGATTTACTCTGAACCTAAGTCATGGCCAAATCAATTTTGAACAAATGTGCTGCCTTCCCATTGAATAGCAAGATAAACAATGTCAATGAAGTCTTCCCTTGTGGCCATGATCGACGTTCACACCATCATCAATTAATATGAATTATGTTAAAATGTATAAGTTATTGGAGAGGTACAATACTTTATGCTGTTTTCATCATTAATAATTAATCCAGGATTCACTTATCAGCTTAGCCAATCATTTACAGGACCAGACACAAGTCAGCCACAAATAGACTTACCCAGTGTTCACTGAGTATTTGCCATATATATCAGACTCTGATCTAAAGACTTTGTATGATTTTATTGATTCTGCACCATGATACCAACTCAGAGTATCTTTATTTAGACTTGACAAAAGAGAGACTCAGAAAAGTGAAATGACTTGTCAGAGTTACACCACTAGTGAGAGATAAATGTGAGGTTTTGGATCCAGTTTTTTGACACTAAGATCAGAGATTGGTACAGCAGAGGGAACAGCTTTTTTGGAGTGCCACACTGTGAGGGTTTGGGAAAATGGACCACTGAGAGTACTGGGAACTGGAAAGAAGTCCTTGAAAACTTTTGGCATGAGGGAAGACATCCACAATAGACTGCTTAGCTGCTGTTGCCAGAATTGGGAGTCAAAAGGTCTGCTGTTCATCTTCACCATCTATTGGTCTTGTGTCCATGAGCAAGAAACTGAATCTCCCTGGCCTAAATGTTCTAAACTGCAAAAGAGGGATAGCTACATCTTTCTCCTTGAGCTATTCTAAGGCTTGCCCAAGATAATGCATGTACAAATATAAAGCAGGTGCTAGCTAAGTAATCAGTAAAATTCAGCTTTCTGTCTTCTTTTCCAATTATATCTTGGGCTGGTCCAGAGCTAAACTCCCATCTTTTGGGGAAACCCCACTGAAATGTGTTGTTACAAACTTAATTTCTCAAAAACAGCCATTTTGTTTTACTTTTTATTGATAAATAAAACATTCTCAAAATAATTCATTTATTTAGTCATCAGATATTGTTTCTCCTTATACCAGGAGCTCACGTATACCAAATATGGCTGCATCAAACACAAGGAATTCGAAGATACTGACTACTTTTGAAAAATAGTCTTTATCTTTTCACTGAAACACTATAAAGATTTATATTTTGGGTAGTTTTTTTCTGATATACATACATACATACATACATACATACACACATATATACATCTATCTATCTATCTATCATCTATCTATCTATCTATGAAGAAGGTATACTTTTGTTTCAGTTCTTTCTTTTCATTTTCCTTTACCCATGAGGGGAAAATTATTTTTCAGTTTCAGGGCCTTTGCACTATCTCTTCCCTCATACAGCCTCATGACTTGCTTCTAAACTTTCCTCGGGTCTCTAATCAAATGTCACCTTATCAGAGAGGCTTCCCTGACCACCTACCTATAATAGCCCCCACCCTCATACTACTCCCTGTCTTTCTCTTCCTTTACCATACGAATTAACTCTTAGATCATTATATTACATTAACTCATAGATTTTCTCATGTATATCATCTATTTTCTTATCAATCCCCTCTGCCCTGGCTGGTAGAATGTAATCAGCATGAGGATTAAGATTTTTGTTTTGTTCTGGGGCATATTCCTATGACCTAGAACAATAGGTGCTCAACAAATGTTCCATGTTTAACATTTCTATTGACTATATAATCAATTACATAGTTTTCCATGTGTTTCTAGAGACACAAAACATTTGCTAATGAACCTCACCCAGCTCTATTCGCTTTACTTTTTCCTTAGTATATAGCAACAACATATGGACAAATTCTATTTTTACATGTCTTGGTGAGGATTGCTCCACATTTCCTGCCCTTCCTCAAGCCCCTGACCTACTCCCAGAGTGTATGCCCCCCTGAGGGCAGGGGAATTTGTTCTATAGCATCTCTTTGAGGACAGACACTTTCTCTCCATCTAGATCTCTAGTTCCAAGCTGCATACAGAAGAGATCTAAACCAATTTTGCCGACTGGCTTGTGTTTGTATTCCTTCCAAATTTCTCACTAATGGCTATAAATTTGTAAAAGAAGAAAAAGTGAAAAGTTCAATATTCAATAAATCAAAATTGACCTGGCCTACATTGGTGTCCTTCCTGATACCCATCTGAAAACTTCCTACCTTGCTATCATTATCTGTTATTAAAAATGTCCCAGGGAGCACAGGTAAGCAGTTCTAGGATACTGATTAATTTGTGAGGCTGTGTTGGTAACACGCCTCTTAACCGCACCCATCCCCCCACTCTCTCTCTCTCTGACTGGCTGTATAGCAGGACATTTCAAGAGAAATGTTTATTGGTTAACAAGAGTTATTAGGGATAGAATTGCACATTAGCAACATTTCTCTATTTTCAAATGGCTGACAGTCTGGATTTTAAAATTTATATCTGATGCTAAATTAAATAAGGTTTCTTATCATCTTTATTTTGGAATTTTTGTTTGTTTGTTTTTGGCATAACTCAGGGTTCTCCCATACTACCATGATACTACTGGAAGCAGTCACTATTATTAGTTTTATTCTCCTTTTAGTAATTTTCTATGTATTAATATGCATGTATGTACATCATTCTTTGTTTTCTCCTCTGAAAATAGTAGCATACACACTTTCCCACATGTCATTTTATGCTTTACAATTTATTTTTCAACTCTTTCTTCAATATTCACATAGAGATGACCTCGCTTTAAAACTATTACCTAGTTTTCAATTCAGTGGATGTATCATATTTTATTTTACCAAGTCTCTATCAAAGGATATTTAATTTATTCCCATTTTTTATC